CGATCCCGGCCACCTCTGAACGGCAACGGCGTTCGCGACTCTAGCGGGTCGGCTAACCCGTTTACAGATCGACCACCATTGCAAGGAGTCGACACCCTCGGTCAGTCCCGAGTTCGCGAGCAACAACGGGCTGGAGGTTGTTTCGGGCATGGTGGCGAGCGCGACGACGAGGAAACCCTTGGGGCTGTACGATTTCGCAGTCAACTCCAACCAGCGGAGGATTTTGATTACCAATTGCAGCTCAATCACTCAGCCCAAAGCGGCGATTTGCAGAGAAGTGCTTCACGTTTCAGCCCCAATCATGAATTTCGCAGACGGGGGCCCGATAGAGAGGACTCGACCTTCACTGTGTTCAATCGACCGCGCCACTGCTGGGATGACGGGTCCGAGGCTGCCGACGACCAACTTTCTCCCAATCGCGCAACCCTAGACGCCAAATTCCGGCGAATTGCTGCACGCAGAGGGTCGAACGGTGACTTCCGCCGGGTTACTGAAGGTGCGGGGGCCACACGACGGTGGCCACAGGAGGGGCGTCGCACCTCTAGCAACGGCGGCGATTTTCTTGACCGCGGGCCGCGCTGGGCCGATGCGGTTTTTGCCACGACCGGCGAACGCGAGGGGAGGCGGAGAGCTGCTGCGGGTTTCGCCGGTGATGGCGGCCGAGAGGGACGACGCGGCAGCAAGAACGTAGCAGGGTACGACGGTGCTCAGTATTTCGGATTTCACAAAGGACTGGCACGGGTGCAGCGACGGGTTGAGAGAGATGGAGATTTGGGCGAGGTGCAGAGTACAATCGATGTGCAGAGACAGCAGAGACAGATCGATGGACAGAGACGCGGGCTTGGGATTTTTCTTCACAATTTTGGGCCTGTGCAAGGGCGGCCCAGATCCATTTATTTGGACCAGGGAATGAATGGATTTGTTCCTTATTCTTGGGCCTGCGTAGTAACTGCGGAATTTGGGCTTGCACAGAGGGATTTTGATTGCGAATTTGGTCACTGGATGAGCCCGTTTCGCGCTGGCATTATTCACTTCGACGAGGATCACGTTGACGGACCAATTTACGATGGTCCGCCCATTTTTGACGAGGAGGCTCCGACGACGAAAACGTATTTTTCCAGTAATAAGGGTCCCGCATGGGATGTTGCTACGATTACGTCTTCGAATGAGAAGTCGTCATTCACACCCAATTTTTTGGGAATTTTGGCCAAAGATGGTTTTTCGGAGCCGAAGCTGATGCCCGATAATTGGTGGACCTTTTTTCGATTGTCTTTCTCGAAGTCTCCCAACACCGGGATGTTTGGCCGTTGTTTTGGATTTGATCGCGGCACACGAGGTGGTGTATTTAGTGTTCATTCAATTTTGCGGGCTTTGCGTATGGTGACGAGTACATGTATCTTCACAGCAGTTAAGTCATTGACCGGGATTATGTTTATGTTCGAGGTTGATGGCAGACCTTCAACATTTGTGTTCGATCGAGGAAAACGTCGGAGGTATTCTTGTCATGGGGACGACTCCAACGGGAACGAGTCGGATTCGAGGGCGAATCCTGCTCAACCGAGGGAGAATGATGCATAATAATAATAATAATATTATTATTATTATTATTATTATTATTATTATTATTATTATTATTATTATTATTATTATTATTAGCATTTAATATTTATTTATATTTATATTTAGTGACTTGGTGGAC